GTCGCGTGCCCATCACCGCCATCGCCTGAAGGAATCAGTTAACAAACGAGCATGAATCTGGCAGGAAGAAGTCCTTTGTTGATCCCCGAAGATATTTTCCATCACGTTGTCTAGCATGCGTGGCCGAAAAGCTTCAAAGTACACTTTGCAAGTCTTGTGGAGCTTGGGCTCCTCCGCGTCTCTTGCGAATCTTAGTTTCACGGCAGGTCATTTACAGGAAACGTTCCATCCACAGTGAACGACAATGAGTTGCGAAATATGAAGGAACACGTTGTCGAAGTCCAGTCTATAAAGCAAATTGTACACCCAGCCATTAGACACAAAAGAAATAAGGATGTTTCAACGACTCACCGTCACCGGGTGATCGCAACCGAATCTGGTAAACCGTAAAGCCGTGACGCAGGGTACTCGAGGTAGCTGAGGTACTTCTGCAGGTTTGTAGGAGCCAAGGTGTGCAGCCGAGGCCGCTTGGACACATGTGCTTTGGGGGAACAGCAAAACCCCACATAATGTAGGCTGTTGATAGACAATGTAGACTCTTCATTAAAGAGCCCTCCATATGAAGAGGCTTTACAATTCATATGAAGAGGTCTTCCGTAGATATTTGTGTGCAGTCACGGGGGGGCGTGCGCGTTGACGGTCTTATTAGAATCAAGAGTCTGCAGTAACGTGGAGACGTGCTTGGTGATGTGTCACCTTGCATGCCCGCTCGCCCGGTCCGTTGTCCACAGAGGATGTGACTTCAAGACGCGTGTGAGGTGCTGAGAGAGAGCAAAAAGGCGTGAACCGTGAATATAAAACAATTTAGGAAGCACACACACGCTTGTTCAGTTGCGCAAAAACAAAACACCACATCAGCAAAACCTGAAGCACGAGCCGGCGGCGCCAATGGGCTTTTCGGAAGCCTACTTCCACCAGGAGTGACTAGGCTTTTGATTGGAACTTATGGGTGGATGGCAGATGCAATCAGCAGGACGTGAATCGAAACTACATAGATCGTACAACATCAGAATCTTGGCCACGGTTTCTTCTGATTGGCACCAGCTACTCCTGTGCCTCCTGTCAGCCTAATTTGGGTTTGCCAACACAACGGGCGCCGCAACTCTCACCCGAATGTCTTAGCCCAAGAGGCACGGTCTAAAACACCAGGGGCTAGGATTTAACTAGCGTGGAAAGCTGGCCTGCAAAATCGACGTTGCACGAATTGGCATGTTTTGTGTCACCCGGTATGCTGTTATCTGGATCATAACATATCAAAAATTTGGGGCCATCTTTCTTTCAGGTAGACTAGAGCTCTGGCCTTGGTACCTTGTTGGTCTTAGGTGTGGATGGAAGATGTTCGAGTCACAGGCGCGCGTTTGCTTCGGGATAAAACACCTGGCATGGTTCGCACAGCCTGTGGAGTGAGTGTTTTGCATGGAACGGAATTTAAGTCTGAGAAATCTTCATTGTGCCGAATCAAGGGTCTTGATGCAATTGCATCTGGGGGCCATTGGAGCTGGAAATAACACTAGATTCGGTGTGTCGTTGGTGTGCTTTGGTTCTTTTTCAGTGCATGTCATCACCAAAACAGGCCGCCAAACCGCAGGAGGAAGCGACCGCGCGAAGGCTCGAACCAAACGAAGGGGTGAAGAGACTGACGTGGTGAGCCTTTGGGGTGTGGACACATCTGGGTCCGAATGGCTTTCCTCAGGGTACGAACTCTGGGCATCTGGGGGGTGCTTTGGTTGATGGATAACCGATGCATTGGCAGGAACACATTTTCTTTCCGAACCCTATTCGGTGCGTTCGTTTGCTATTCGGTTCTCATCATCGGTGATCATACTGGACATGCGTGTGCAGATGAACACCGTCTGACTTTGCACAGTGTTCGTCATGTAAACAAGGGAGTCTCTCTCAAGATGGACGTCCCCCTCAAAAGCCGGCAAGTTTGACACCAAAGATCTGGGATACGCGCACAGTCCATCCCACACCTGCCAGGTTTCGATCGTTTAGTCTTTTGGCCGATTCGTTTCGGAGGTTTTTCCTCGTCCCACTCGTACCACTTTTCACCAGGAGGGTCGAGTGAAGTGGAAGAAGGTGAAGAAGAAACGGAGGATCCGGCCGCAGGCGTCGCATGGCAAACGCGGTCGCGTAGCGGTCGCGTAGTGGTCGCGTCGCGTTCGGGTCGCGCTGTGGGAGACGTGGTGTTGGAGACGCGGCGAAAACGGCTCGAGCCGTTTCTTTTTCTGGTGCTGCAGGCCAACCGTTGTAGTCTTTACAACGTTGCGCAGATGGTGTTTTGATACTGTTCGTAACCTTTCATGTTTTCCGGGCGTTGGTTGACAGTTGACAGGCAATTTGGTCTATATCATATGTCTATATAGACATTTGTCACAGGATGGCATCAACTATTATGTCAGTGAATGAACATGAATGAGCCACGGGAAGTTCTTGGTCACAATTGAAATCCCCTGAGTTTTCAAAGTGCGCAGTAAAGTTGAACACTTCAGACCCTCCGGTTATGTCCACTGGTGAGGCTTTTGCAGCCACAAACGTCATGAAAATCCAAAACCCAAAGATATGTTGGACACGGCCAGACTTGGGGTCCTGCTATTTTGCTTGATGATATACTGTATCTTGAGCAACGGCCCTCGAATAGCTTTCTATCGATTGCTACTCTAAGACATTAATGGAGTGCATGACACTGCTCCCAAAACAGGATGTCCAGCCCCACAAGACGCACATTCCGGGTGAAGGGTGAAGGGCCCAGACCAGTCAGATATGGCAGCAATGACCGTTTGACCTCGTGGATTGCAGTGGCTGCCAGGCTGCCACCGCCCTGGCCAGCTTGAATCAGTCACAGAGACATGGCGACAAGACTCAGTGGAGGGTCGTTATGTTTTTGTTCAACAAAAATAAAGGACCGGATAACCCCACATATGAATCTTTACGAATCTTAAGTTTCTAAAGCACAAAGCAGTCAGAGTCTCAATAGCTTCTACAACATGGCCTTGTCAGGAATTATATCCGAATTACACAACAGAGGGGTGGGAGAGAGGTGTGGGAGAGTAATGTGCACGGCGGATGTACGAGATCTACTGCAATTTACACTAAGACAGCGCTGCAGCCGACCAGCGGCGACCGCAGCCGACAACGCAACCGCCAGAGCCTCTAACGGAGCGAGATCTATTGCGTTTTACACCAAGACAGCGCCGCAGCCGACCAGCGGCGACCAGCGGTGATGAGGGGTGTAAGATAAGTGGTGTGTGATAAGTGGTGTGTGATGAGTGGTGT